TTTGCAAGCTGGGCAGAGACAGGCCAGCCCCCCAACTTGTTCTGGCTCTCCAGCTTCACCTTTCCCAACGGCTTCCTCACCGCTGTACTGCAGTCCTCTGCTCGACAGCACAACGTGAGAGTCCACACATCCACATGCACACAGGCACAAAGACAGTTACAGTATGTAGTGAAGCTATAGGTGTCATTTACACTGGGGACGCTGGGGATATGTCCCCACCACTTTTTGAAATGGTTGATTTTGTTCCCATCATTTTTTGAAAATATTTGTTAAAATGGTTCTGATAAACTGCTTGCAACAAGAAATGTTAAATAACAAAGGAGAATGTTTTGAGAAAGGTTTATTTGCACAGTAAGAAAACATGCAATGCCATGTAAATATCTAAGAAACAAATGTGCATTGTCTAAGAAAGTAACTTAAGCTAAAAACAACAAGTAGCTGATTACTAAATTAAATTTTATTTTTATATTTTGTATTGTCACCTTACACCTGAATTTTGTGTTTCCCTTTATAAAAGACATTTCAACCATAAATTGGTCTGGAAAATGTTTCCAGAATACAGGCAATTAAGTGTTTAATGCTCAAAATCTTCTGGGGGAGGACCCCCAGACCCCCCAGATCATATATCACAGTAGTGAATATTTATTCTAATACCTTCTTGTTTTGTTAACATTTCGGGAGCAAGGGTGTCACTGCACCCCTAATCTTGAGCCCTTAAATGTCCCCACCACTTCCAGCACAAAGTCACGCCCTTGAGTGAAGCACTAAATTAGGAGGCACCGCTTGTTGTGTCATGTTTGTGATTGATGGCCATGTAGTTTTGAGTTTCTCCAGTAGATGTCTGAAAGGGTTTCATGAGCCAAACCCAGTTAACTATATGATTGTACAACTGAAGAGTCAATTTGTATGACAACAGCTGTTCTGTTCTGTTGAATTTTCACAACACACATAAAACACATAAACAATCTCTGGGAAACACAACTGGTTTTCAGATATACACCACAACTGCTGCACTTAATGTTGTACAGTAAGAAACTTGAGCAATTTATCTAACCGATATGCATTCATAGCTGTCAGTTATACTGGTTATTTGACTAACTACTCTAATATGGTTCTACTGCGATGAATGGAAATGTCCTATTTTGACTTTTGGGCCTGTGTATAATAACAGTTAACATTGTGTTCTTGCAGATATCAGTGGACACGTTGTCTTGGGATTTTATAGTGTCCACCGTAGATGACAGCAACCTCCTTTACCCACCCAAGGTGACTCCCTATGCACACATTGCTATTTCCATAAAGATTTCCATAAACTTGCCATCAGACCACTTTTTTTGAGCCATTAGCTGTCATTGCCACTTTCCATCACATTTTTCATTTCTACTCAAACACTGACTCTGTGTGGGTTTACATGAAGAACGTATTTTCATTCAAAGCAGCACGCAGCTTTGTGCCTCTCTCTTCCCATTCCTAAAATCTGCACTTAAAAATATTTTAAGAAGCAGCTCTACAATTCAAATTTTTGACATTGGTGGAAAATGTTTTAATTTTTCAGAGTGCTGCCACATCCAGATTTCTGTCTTTTGTACTGCTTCTCTCTTGCTTCAGTTGAGCTCTCTGGCTCTATTTCCTTCCTTCTAAACTGACTACCTCTCTTCCTTCTCCTCTGACAATCTCCTCCTTCCAATGCCCTGTCTCTCCTCCCCCCTCTAACCCCTCTCCTCCCCATGATCTTTCCCCTTAGCAGTTTTTGCCTATTCTCTCCCTCATGATCCACTCTTTCCCATTCTCCTCTCCTTTCTGTACCGCTCTTTTTCCTCTCCCCTTTCCTTCCTTCTACCCTCTCTCCTCTAAGTGTCTTTGCCTCTTCCCTCTCCCTCCCTCGTCCCCTGCAGACCTCCCCCTTCCCTTGTTTTCACCCCTCCGTCTTCTTTCTTTTCTCAGTTTCAGGACCTAATTGGCATGGCTGTTTGTCATAAACATTTGTTTCTATCTAAATGCAAAATATCACCTCCAAACAAGTGTAGTATCTCTCACCGTACCTTCCCTGAATACCCCTCTCCCTTTTCTGTCAAACCCCCTTCAGGATGGAGTATTTGTCCGAGGTTTGTATCTGGAAGGGGCTGGTTGGGACAAGAAGAACTCCTGTCTGGTGGAAGCTGAACCCATGCAGATGGTCTGTCCCATCCCCACCATCCACTTCAAACCTGTGGAAAACCGTAAAAAGATGGCTAAGAGTGAGTTGTTTGGAACTTACTCCGTCCCACTGACTGTCTTTCTGTCTTCTGTCTTCTGTTTGCTTTTTTGTTTTATTTAATTCTGAATGATTCATCATCTCTGGTTTCGTGTTTTCTCCATCTGGTTGTGTGTAATTTGTGATGACGTGCTCTGTGGTTTCACCGTGTGTCTCATTTGTGTGTGTGTGTGTCTAGGTATGTACCTATGTCCGTGTTACTACTTCCCGGTGCGTTCGGGTGGGGCAGGCCGAGCATCTTTTGTGGTTGCTGTAGAACTCAAGTCTGGACCTGTGACCCCAGACCACTGGATCAAGAGAGGGACTGCTCTTCTTATGAGCCTGGACAACTAAAGGCCTTAACACACACACACTCACTGTGACACTTTGTTTCTGCTGATGTTTACTATTTATTGTTTTAGCCCGTTTATTACTGTGAGTAATGCCTATGAATAATGTCATAAGAGACAGCAAATGACATTTTAAATTTAAACACAGTGTTAACTTCTCAAATGTATTGCATTCTATAAATCCGGTTTTCACACCTGGGGCTTAACAATAAATGGACGAGTCGTTCTTTGACAGTTGTTCTGTCACATTCTGGTAAGCTTTCCGTCTCTTTTGTCTCCTTTCTTCGCTGTCAGCTGACCGATTATTCACTCCTCTTCACAGACCTGCATCAGTCTGTCCATGCTGACCCCCTTTCACCCTGCTCGAACATAGACACTTAACCCACACACATACACATACACAGGAAACAGTCTCCTACTGAGAACTGCCGTGTTTTACTGGAAACGTGCTCTTTGCAACATCTGGATCAAGTGACTGTCTGGTTCATGTAGGCGTCTGTTGTGCTCATTGAATTCCTTGATAAGCTAACAAATCACTTGCATGAAGACAGTCGTGGGCTATAAATATAAGTAAACTGAATGTCCAGTACTTTATTGAAGCTCTTAATACATCACTTCCTGGCTTTGTGCACTTACTGAGTCCTGGAAATACAAATCAATTAAAATATTTATAAAGTAGTAGAAAGAGTCTGTTACTGGTTGTTTTACAGCTTTAAACCAAATAATTACGTTTTATATTATATTAGATTAATCTTTGCTTTGGCACACTCAGATACACAGACGCGTTGACATAGTAACAACACACACACACATGCAGGCACACAAGCAAACAATGCAGTTAATCAAGGTGAGGTAAAGGATATTTCTATGCTAATACACATTTCCCCCAAGCTGAAAAAGAGGACAGAGGGAGGGAGCGACTGAAGGAAGAAATGAACCTATTCAAACAAATGAATTCTAATGAAGCTTCGCAGACGAGGCGTTTGGAGTCGGGCAGCGTTGTGAGGGAGAAGGCCCCGGACTTCCCCGCTGGAAAGGACTCAGCCCAAACTCCTGAAAGGGAGGGAGTGAAAAAACAAGAGAAGGACCCTGGAGAAAGTGAGCCGGGAGGAAGAATGGTCCAGTAATGAGAGAGGGGAACCAGAGGGGGGGGGGCTGAGTTCAAGGTTGTATTCAGACGTAAGGATTGTCCCCCTGAAAGACCGAACACAGACTTCCTCAGGGTTTAAGAGCCTCTTTATCGGACTCAGGTCTGTGTGTGTGTGTGTGTGTGTGTGTGTGTGTGTGTGTGTGTGTTCTCTGGTGGTCTCTCTGGCTGGGTGGGAGATGGAGGGGGGCAGTCATAGCAACATGCTGAATTCATATTCAAATTGCCTTATTCTGGTTGTAACAAAAATATCAGACTTGGGAGGTGTTTTTATGGATAAAAGCTTCAGCTGAAGTGAAGGAGCATGTAAATGTGGTGTGGAAACATTTTAGATATATATTTTTTGCAGCAGTAATTAACCTTCCTGTCTAATAAGTGAATTACATTTGTCTATTCCAGGACAGAAATACAGTTTCTAAAGTGCCGTGTGTTAAAAAAGTGCACATTTGTTGTATCTCTGTGTTCAAACAGTGGATGTCTCATTTTAGGGCCACAGTTTTCATATGCTCCCCGTCTGCAGAAATATACATTTTTTGAGGGCACTGGAAGCCGATTTCTTCCATCTGCTTATCCACTTAGAAATTGTAAACAGTTGCTGCTAAAATTCCTGCGTTTTGAAGACATTTTTTGAATAACTAGGATGGAGGGAATCCAAACCTTTTCTTATAAAAAGGCCCTGTGAAAACTACTCCCTGCAGCCATGTAGACCCCAGTTTGAAAATTTTGTCTATCACATCAGAGGATAAGCACTGGGAAAAGACTAATCAGATCTCCTATCGAATGTATTACCAGTGAAATTAAATCAATCAGCAATTTACTGGAGACCCCCAGACAACACCTCAAGCACCCTGGTGAGCCAACTGAACCTCTGTGTGGGAGATTCTGGGTTTGCCTTAGTGCTTTAATTCGATTTCCCAACATGCTCATGAACTAGTTTTCAGTTTCTTGGAAAATGAAGGGGACCTCACAAGATTGCCAAACATCTATCTCTGAAGCACAACTTTTGATTCCTCAAGTGGCTTCTTCAAAAGAAGCCAACCAAGAGCATGACTCCCGAACCAAATTACTACTGGGGGGAACCTGGGGTCCAGTTGTTTCTACTGAACAATACTTAATAATGGAATTTGGGCAAGTTGTACAGTGCGTTTGCCAGTGACTATGGAGGCGGGGCAGTTAATGTCCAAGACTCTTCAACCGAAAATAAACCTGCATGAGGGAAGAGAGAGAAGGAGAGAGAAGGAGAGAGAGGGAGGGAGGAGGAGGAGGAGGAAGGGAAAGAGGCTTTCAACGGGGACAGAAGGGAAAGAGTCTCCGTTTCAATGGAATATAAACTGCGCAATTTCTTTTAAGGACTGCCTGCTCTGATCGCGGTGGATCGTTACTCTCTAGGAAATGGATATCAGTTGTGTTTTTGAATGGTTGGGGAATCCATGCCCATTGCAACCCCCGCTGCTTTGGCGGCTACAGGAGCTGGCGATTTTAATTTTTTTATTTTTATACCAGATCGGTCTTCAGAGGAGTAAAGGAGATGTGCAATCATTCAAAAAGGCGATATGACTGTGCAAAGATGCAAGATCAGAGATGAGTCTATCCGTCATGCCATGCACATGGGCGAACACATGCACATTTCCTCAGCCTGGGTTGTGATCTATCTGCGTGTACAGTGCTCCCCCGTGTCGACGTTCGCACCTAAACGCGTTATGGATGTTGAATGGGGCTTCATGATGATTTTTGGGCAGAGGGCTTTTAGGGGGCTGCGTCATCCGTGGCTGGGAAAGAAGATGGACAGCTTTGCAGATTCCCCACTATTACACTGTTTTAACAGCGAGAGTCAGCGCGGCACCTCCCCAGCAGATTTTGGATTGCACATTAAACGGTGAGCAGAACCAGAGACATTTTAGACAGTATGAACATCAGGCGTTCATGCTGACATGTGAGGCTGTACTGCCTGTTACCTAATTGTAACAGGGGGGGCAATGAGAATCCATTGAAAACAATCTGAACTACAGTATCACCATCCTGTAATAAATCTTAAAGGACACGATCAAAAATACAAGCAACTACATGGAAATATGTTTCACTGCAGGAGATAATGGCAAATCTAGTAAACTCAAGATTTAGCGGAGCAGAAACTGAGTCTTAAAATGGAAGGCTGTAATAATGTGATTTTTAAGGGGGTGATTTGATCGTATTATATAATTGTGTATGGGATACACAACTCTTAACTTTACATGAATATGGCCGATAAGTTTCGATACTGCAGCAGTTTGTTATGTCTGCGTTGTTGGCGGCTGTTTTGCCTGTTTTCCCCAAATTCGTATTGAAACTGATGTTGGTGATGTCATGTTTTTACGGTAAGGACGGAATAGTTTACGGGAAGGTAGGTCTGGAGTTGATGTCGCAATCGCATTGTGTTGATCTCGGTTATTCGTGTATTAATGCACGAAAAGGGATGTATCGTGTCCGTGGGTGCGATAAACGACGTGTGGCAGCTATATGTTGCTGATTAGAGGTTAAACCGCGGCATATTGAATGAAATGCAGGTTCGCTTGGTGTTGGAGGAAGGAGTGTCGCATTTTCTTTCTGGATTGTCATGTGGTGAAGTTGTGGCGGGTTCTCTACTATTTCCAGGAAGAGCGTTTGAATGTTCTTCCCTTCGAGTTTTTTCTGTCTCCACCCCTCTCCTCCCTTTCCATGTTGCACTTCAGGCTAGTTGCCACTGGATGGCGATACAGGACAGGAATAGACTAGCCCCACATATACTTCTGGACTTGGATAGGATCAATGTGGCTCTAAAGCAGTGGTTCTAGGGGGTCCTAGGGGGTCCCCAGCAAAAAGAGAAATCGTTCATTTTCAGGTAATTCCATCCACACAGTAACACTATGCCAGAATGTATGGCTATTTTGTGATTTTGGAATAATAAATCCTGTAATTTCTGACTGTGATTGATTATGTCCCACAATGCAGTGTAAGTTCAACTTGAGGAGCTACCATGGGAACCTACACAGCTGCAACACATTTAACTAATTGTGGGCAGTGAGGGGGAGACAAAACAAAAACAAAACAATTGAATTATTGGATAAATACTTTATCACATTTCCAAAGTTTACAGAATATTTCCAAAGCTGCAGATGAAGTGTTTCTGATAGGAACAAAATGGTACAGTGGCTGTATTTATTTCATGCACTAGGCTAGTTGCAATCTGTGAAGACAGTGGGACAGCAAACCTTTTATTCTGTAAACAGATATGCCTCTTCCCGGGTACATATGTAATACTAGAATATACAGCAGCTGTCGGTTGAAAAATTGTTTGGACACATTTGAGTATGTTTAAGTTTGGTGACCCATAAATTAATTAAGAATTTTCCACAAAGCTGGATTAACGGTAAATCTAATTAATAAGAACGTGGCCTGCGTTGCAGGTTAACGTAAATATTGTTGTAGGCCTACTTGGGTAGGCTAAGTGACATTTAAGTAAGCTGGCTGTATTTAAATTAACAATATTGCGGCCAAACTGGTACTGAAACAATATTAGGCTGTATAACTACTTGCAAAACTGACAGTTCAACATAATTTAATAACTACAGTAATTGTGACTTTTCCTATACACAAGTGTTGCACCACTGTGGAATGTAGCCAACTCAGTTTCAGTATGAATATGGGACACTTCCTTACAGTGTTTCTTCTCCCACTGTGAGATCAGGAAAATGCCACTTCACTGTTTGTTCACATGGAAGTAGAGACAGCTGCTTAAGGACACCTAAGCTTGATGTTACATACACACATGGATCACTTGACTTGTATTGTTTGCTGGCATTCTGTGAGCCATTTTCCTGTGTATCTTCATAAAGAGTCATAGAAAGATACACACACCCTTTCCTCAGTCTTTTAATGGCTTCACATACCATCTATTACTTGCCCTCCCCTCCTTTATCATAGTCATTTGTTGGAGGAGTGGAATCAATAAGGCTCTTTAACCTAGATTAACATAATCTATGTACTTCATGAAAGGAGTAATTATGTGCCAATACTGAAACAGTGTATGAGTGATTTTCTATCACCACATGTATGCAGTAGTGTACAAGGCTGTATTAAGTGTACAAATAGCTGAGGTCCAGGAGTGCGTATTCTCCCCTAGATGGCGACACTTTCACAGTCCAACCCTGGTTTGTGTGTATCCTTTGTGAACAGCTGCTAAGTTCTCACAGTACAGTAGTGAATATACACTCCCTGGTGTGACTTTATTAGGTTATTCAATTGCTTGTTATCACAAGTAGCTAATTAGCCAATCACACGGTAGCAATTCAATGCATTTAAGCATGTACAGTGGTCAAGACAACTTGCTGAAGTTCAAAGCGAGCATCAGAGTGGGGAAGAAAGGGGATTTAAGTGACTTTGAACGTGGCGTGGTCGTTGGTGCCAGACGGGCTGGTCTGAGTATTTCAGAAACTGGGTTTTTACGCACAACCATCTCAAGGGTTTACAGAGAATGGTCCGAAAAAGAGAAAATATCCAGTGAGCGGTGTTATGGCAGAAAATTGAGTCCTCTTACATTTAATCTTTTATTCATGTTCTTTTACTATTATTATTACTATTATTATTATGTCTTACATTGTATTGTGTTTTTTATCCTTAAACTTTCTAGGAGACAGAACATCTGGCCCAGCTGATTAACATTGTAGTACTCCTCTGTCATTCTCTTTTTATTAATAAATTCTTCAGACACAACTGTTGGTTATTTCTCAATTGTTTATCAATTGCTTAATCCCTCACCAGCAATATACAATTTCCATGACAAGCGGCAGTTGTGTGGACGAAAATGCTGAAACTTGATTTATCCTTCATTGGGTGTGAATGCTGCACCTTTATTATTATTATTATTTTTTGTTCCTGATCAAAAAGCTTAATATGCATCTTTCCCATTCACAGAAAAACAGTGAGGAACATGGCCAAGCATTGCTGTGCTATGTTTGCAGAACCGCCAGCGCCTCACTGAAGCCACAAGTGAAACATCTTTCTGGGTGTCTGACCTTCTGTAGGCCTGTCAAGATGGACTGGAAATGGAAAATGCTGATGCCATTCCTTAGTGATGGTAAGATGGCCAACTATCTAACAAACTATATTAATGCATCATTGTTTTATTTAGGAGCTGGGCTCATACACATCTTTCAAAGTCATTCCCTGACGTCAAAGTCATTTTATTTGTCATATGCACTGAATAACATTGCATCATTCAGAACAGAGAAAATCTTATGGCATGTCATGTGACAACTACGAAATATATATTGCGAAAAAAAACAAGTCCTTAACTATCTTTTTTTATGTTAAACATTTGTAGGTTTTTTATTAAGGTGGAACTAGTATGGGTCACCTTACTACTAACATTTCACCACGCTGTTGCCTTTACTGAATTTTAAACCCCTCTAGACATTAAATTAGTTACTGTTTAGTGCTACACAGCATGGCACTCTTTCTATTCTAACCCAAACCCGATGTTTCGAATAAAATTGCAATATATGCTATCACAGTCAACATCACAATTTACTTACATTTAAAGGTATTTTCCTACAACTGACTCGCAGCCTGGAAACAGATCCATATTGTTTACATTACTGTTTTGTTTTCTGCAGGAGAGCCATCTGCATTTTGCAGCAAGCACCCACATGAGCCAGGTAATACATTTGACCTTTTACCCAGACTTTGACCTGTGTGCATGACTTCACTGTTTAGTCATGTAAGGATGTTTGTCATCCCTGTTGTGTCTGACCAGTAGATATGTTTGTCTGAGCTTCTTTCAGAACAATGAAACGTGTGACTAGCTCAAAAGGATTGAAATATCCAGCAGATGGGAACAATATGTTCAATCTCTGTTACTGTGTAGTTCATCCTACAGTTTAGAAGCTTATACACTGAGAGACATCAACAATAGTAGCAACTGAAGTGGAAAACCCAGTGTTTTTACCCTTTCTATTTGTAGAAGTAGATAGTTTTGTGTATAAGTTAGGTGCATAAGGGCTGTGTTTGGGCAAATAGGCTACCTCAGTGACACAGTATGTACCTTGCATGGATTGAACCAAAGTCATTGTGACTGATTTGTTGAGGACTGAAAGACACAACGGACATTGAAAGTTTTCTTCTCTTTTCTGTTTGTACATTTGACGATTGTAGTCTTTTTTCGGTAGCCATTTTCACCACAGCTACTAAATTGATTAGGACTGGGGCCAGGGACAAGCATATACACACACACACACACACACACACACACACTTCAGTTAAGCTGTACACATTTAACACCTTTACTTAATAATACACATCTAACCTGCTGTGTTTCATTTTCAAACGCAGGGTCCCCAAACACGCTCTGACACACATCTCAAACACCCCCACACCTTTCTCACTCACAGTTTTGATCTCCCTCTTAGGGACAAAGACACACACACACACACACACACACACACACACACACACACACACACACACACACACACACACACACACACTGTCTCTCTCTCTAATACCAATGTCTCTCAGGATCCTGCCAAGTCTCACACACCTGGAGTTTTCCATCACTTAGCTTTATTACATACATTTACAGCAGGCCATGAATCACATCCATTATACATATAAATGCACATATAAGCACAATTCCGCTTAAGACCAAGTAGACACCCTCCATTATGCTTGTAGACAGGTACACTCACATGCACACACACACACACACACATATACAATTAAAGCAGTCTGGCTGCAACATAAAAAGTGAGAGTGATTTGCGAATGAAAGTGTAGTGTCTTACTCACCATTGGTGCCCGTCTCTAACACAGCTTGTGGTCATTTGTTTAGTGGAGGTCATGTCTTATCTGTCATGTTGAATGTGTTCATGTTTGAGAGAGAGAGAGAGAGAGTAACTCTACATTATACGGTAAAACTGTAACTGAGCGCTGGCATCAATCAGCATGACAGCCCCAGCAATCAGCTTGCATCTGTCACTGAGACACACACGTGTGCACACCTTCGGACATGGTGCCATGTGTCACCTTCCCTTTGGGTTTGAGTGTCATAGTGTATCTCATCTACTATCATTACAGCTTGTAGCTTTTTTTATTCACTACAGAGATAAGTGCTAGCTTTGTTCCATAAGGCTAGTATACTGTATTCTGGTGACCAAATAAGATAGGTTGCTTATTATGTACCTTCATATGTTGTACGTTTGAGCTCGATTCACAGGCTGTTTGTATGGCATTCCCTCTAGCGATGTTACGATTCCAGAAAGTTGACTTTAATATTAATTATAAATCTAAAACTATGATGATGTCACCATACTCACTAGACTTGCAGAGCTTGGCCTTTTACACCAGGGTTTTTTGATGTTGGCTAGTTGTAAGTGAAATAACTCCATATGCTGCACCTGGGACCAGTTCTGTCAGGGAATTTATTTGGACAGGGATCTAGTTTAACACATGGTAGATGAGTGGCATATGTTCAGCTGCACAATTATACTTAGCAGAGCAGTAGGAGTCCATAGACTACAGTAAGTATACTGTCATGCAGATGTTTATAGAGGGAGTTACCCACACATTTAATTTTAAAACCGAGGAGGCCTTGATATGAGAAACATGAGTTTCTGTTCAAAAAATGTTCATCTAACTTTATATTTTCTGTGAAATTGAAGTTTATAGTGAACATTCCAGTTAGTTAAGCTTTAAAATAGAACTCACACTTAACTAGCCCCAAAGACGTCAACACCATAAGTAACATTTGATGTTACACACTGTCCAGTTTGCATTTCATACGAGCAGGTGACAGTTTGTGAGTGTTCAGTGCACGGCGTCAGACGGGACATTAGGATTTGGCATCTGTTTTTCCCATCTGTTTTGTCTACATCTTCCTCCTCCTCCTCCTTTCTTCTGAATGCACCAATCCATGTGCCATCCACATGTGCCACACACCCTGTGGAGGCAGCACAGAAAAGGATTTATGCTTTCAGAACATTCAGAGGTGTTTTAACAAGTTACAAGAAAAATCTTATTCATTTCATTCTAATTTTAATCAGTCCCAGCGGTATTAAAGAGTGTGTGGTTAATTTATTAGTTATCATTACAATAATGCCCTTCTTGTCTTCGTTTTTTCGGCCTTCCTCTATCTGGTGCCTGTTATCTGATGTTGAATAAAACCATATTTCTACAGGAAAGAAAAATGCTTTTGGTTCAAATGAGAACAGATTTGAGCAGGATGTAGAGAGAGATTCAGGAAGAGAGGTGGTGAGAGCTGACTCAGGATGCCCAGGGGGAGGATGGCAGGAAGCAGTGGGTGAGGTGGAGGACAGGAAAGAGAGGGAGGGGGAGTGACTCCTCTTCATCGTCCTCCTCCCCTTCTGTCATCATCTGCGATGTCATCGAAGGAGGAGTGGAGTAGGGAGGGGAAAAAAGGAGAGGTGGAGCTGACATCATCCACCTCCTGGAGGTCCGTGAGGACGCATTACCACATTCACCCGATTAAAGCTTTGAACATTTTTATGCTATCAAAGGGATTGAGAGCGTTTAAACAACAGCTGGAAAACAATCTCTTTCAAGATGTACTGAGTCCATGTATGGAAAGATGTAATGAAAGAAAGAGATAGAGCCCCTCTGCCTATAACTTTCCTGAGAAAGGAGGGCATTGGGTTTGTTTGTGTGCATGTGAGCTCTCTTGGTAGGATGTGTTTGTGTGTAGGGGTGACAGAGTTTGCAGAGAGGAAGATGTCCAACATGTCTCCTGTCCTCTGCTGTGCTTGTTGTTTGGCCTGCATTACCCAGCTGCCACAGGCCTCTCTTGGTATGCTGTGTGTATGTGTTTGGAAGGTGTCCGTGTTGGCACATCCCCCAGTGTGCAGCTATGTATGTACTTGTCGTGTATTACTACAAAGTGTGTACAATGTGTGCACCTGTGTCTTAAGGCCCCGCCGTGGTTTCGGAGGCAGTTAGTGGAGGTTAGATGGTGCAAGATTAGTGCAAAGTTGTGGTAAGCAAGTGGAGGGTATGAGGTGTATGGGAATGTGGAAGGGGTGCATTGGTATAAAAAACTGTAGAGGGTAGGCAGTTGCGTGGTCATACAACAACTGTGACCTCCATACACCGCTTCAACAAATCTATTCATAGTTTTCGCTCATGTGACTTGCGCGGTGACCTGGAGGGCAAAACAACAGACCAAGATAGCGGCTAACACCGGACTCCCTCATAGAGACGGCGCACAAGATGTTAAATTTTATTTTGATCACCTCTCAACTCAAGAAAAAGATAGATATGGACACAAACTGCAAGTGTTGGGCACTTGCGATCCATGTGCGCCACCCACTGCTGTATTTCCGCCATTAAAAACCGCTAGGTCCTGCCAGCGCTCGACTGCAGTAATGTTTACGTTCACCTTGTAGGGAATCCCTCACCTAACACAACTCAGGCTTGTGTCCTCGGTGATTAGTGCATCCGAAAGCACAACAACCATCCAGCATTTTGGCAACGCAAAAGTAACAAACTGAAAGTAGTTTACTGGTTGGCGGGCAGCGGAAAATAACGTCTCCTCGCCCTCCAAGGGAGCGTTTTCCTTGTAATGTGATGTCGTGTTAAAACTATGAATAAATGGAGAGCTGCAATATTAGAAGGAAAACAAGTTAATACAGTAGGTAATACTGTTGCAAACATAAGCCACATCATGTGGCAGGCAGTGTTCTGTTGTTGTAGGAATACACACAAAACATGTTGGGTTTTTTTCATTTTCCTGACACATACATTGATTGTACTTTGTCTCTACACCGGGGAAGTAGCATGAAGCCTGAAGTCATATACATAAGGGCCCTGATGTACAAAAACAGTCCTTTTGTGGCTTAATGTCACCTTATGGTGGCTGGTTGGCTCTGGCAGGCCTTCAATCGTATTTTCTTCTCCCACAAGTGAAAGACCAAGTCACTATACTTTATAGTGCTAGCTCCCTTGTAAAGTTTTTCAGACATATTCTCAGCAAGCGAGAAAGCTGTTTAAGCAGATTCATTGGTGGCGCAGAAATGGTTGGCTTTGTATTCCAAAGAACAGTGCAGAGAGGAAAAACAAGACAAATACAAACCACTGGCTCATTATTTCTTCTCAGGCATGCGCAGAGAGGGCACATGCATGTCAGTGGCCAGATGGAAGCTGGTGTAGTTGTTGCAGTGTGCGTTCAAATGAGGTGAGGTGACTTGAGGCAACGCAGCCGTCTGTCCAGTTGGCTCTAGTTCTTTGAAGTTGGCTTGGTGTGTGAGAGACCTAAAACCCTAAATGCCTGATCCCCTTTTAAAGCATGATTTGTTATTAACACCAACTTCATGAGAACTTTAGTCATGCAGAGTACACATTAATCGGAAATCAAGCTGGGGTCATTGGGCGGTCCACAAACAAATTACCATAGGATATATACCTAAAAATTTGGGGAGCTGTATTCCACTGAATTCCATTGGACTGGCGTTTTTGCCGTAGTGCCTGATTTGGTGTGACTACAGCCTAAGAAATTGAGCTGTGGCAAAGAGGGCACAAGGCGTAAACACTATCTGCCTAAAAAAAAAGACAGAGATGTGGCTAAAACGCTTACACAGGATTTAGTAAATAGTGTGATGTGCATTTCTCAAACTAAATCCCTTTCTTGAACAAATCCACTGGCAACCCCC